GTTGTGCTAGTTTTGCCGTAAAACTTCGACGGACCATAATTTCTTTGTCATAACTCGGATTTCGACGTTATTTATATGTACGGAACCCTTGAGACGTATTCTACAACTTGGTTAGGATTATTTATTCTAAATAATCTTTTGTTGAAAAGTCGTTTTCGACCCTATTATCTCTAAATTGACTAGCCCGGATCTACGGGCGTTACATTGAGTTTTGGGTGTGACGTATTAGAGGCTACCATACTTTTGGAACTAGTTTTCCAAGGAGAATTCAAGTGTTTTGATTATATTAATTCCATTTAAGCAAAGGTATGTGGTTCTATTCATATTTCGATTATGATAGGGTTTTTTTTCTAGTTTTATTTCATAAGTATGTTGCTATTAATTGTGAAAAGACATAGATCCATTTAGGTTACATGTACCCTTAAGTGTTAAGTGAAATTAAACATGTACAATGTAATTGTAACCTAAAAACTCCATATCAATAAGTTAGATTTACCACCCATCACAACAATACATCTAGTTTTCCATGTCTCACTGCTCTGATCTGCCTATGGTACCCCATATAAACCCACTAAGCTACCTCCTTAATTGACTGCTGAGATGGAATTGGAGGTGCAACATGCATCAATCAGGGGAGTCTAGTAAGGAAAGGGAATGGACAACATAATCAAGATGAAACATACATATTATTACAATGGCAAGACCTTTCAGAGCATGAAGCGACTTGAGAAGATTTTGATAAGTTGAACAAGCAATTTCCTGAATTTCACCTTGGGGACAAGGTGAAACTTTGGGCTACCGCTAATGATAACTCATAAACCTTTAACGCTTACTAAAGAAGCAATCGTAACGCCTAATTTGAAGAATTACCCAAAAGAATGATTATTTATCATGCTTACCGGGAGTATGAGGGTAAATTTGTCTTTTACTTATTATATTGGCCAGCTTGTTATGTTTATGCCACTACCTTTGTGCATTTAGCTTTTCGAGTGGGGGAGCAATATCATTTCCTATGTTTGGATCAATTTGTCTTATTCTCCTGCTAAAGAGTATTTATATGTTGTCTTTTGTTCTTTTTTAGGGTATATGCATAAATTATTGTAAAGTTCTTCTAGAACTTGGAGATTTTCCCCTCTCTCGAATATGAGGCTATCCATTTGAATATTCAGTGCATCCCTTCATATATTACTATTCCATTGATATATATTAGGTTACTTTTACTCTTTCTGTCCAGGGTTAGCTAAGCAAGTATCACGCTACTTTTTAACACTCCATTAAAAGCAGAAATCCAATGTTACTATTTTGTTGGATCATATTATTTCATGAAAAATACTTTATAGAATCATACTTTCTAACAATTTAGAAAATCAAAATATATGTATTACTTGCTAAGCTTTATAGCTGACATTTGTTTATAAATGATGTTTTTAGGTAATAGGTTAAACTACAAGTGCATGGGAGAGGCGTATAACTTAATGACCAACGATATAATATTAGTTGCTCAATAAATAGATGCATAATTTTGTTCATGTCATATATTTTGCAATATACTATAGTACATATTAAATGATATGAACTTGTTACCCTGATGTTGCAAAAGTATACAATTATATTTTAGTTTTTTTAGTAAAATTATAGTTTTTGGTGTACTTTTAGACTAGAAGTGAAGTGTTACATAGTAGTTTACCGATTTAGATAACCAACTTTGATTTTCCATAAAATCATAAAAACATCGATTTGTCTATCTATCAACTTTTCCATCTCATCCAACACTTACATGTTTCTAACATGTTGTGAGTTCCTTTTCAATTTCACTTTTACACAATTATGGCAAATACATATCGAATTCCATAATAAAGTTCTCAAGGTGTGTTGCTAAAACACTTTCCACTTTCCCAAAAAAAAATCATTTAAATACATATAAAAGGACAAACTTGCAAAAATGGTTCTTGTGCTCGACAAAAAATGTGGTTTATCCCCAAAAGGTTTGGTGGTGCACGAGTGATCCAATTTTGGATATTTTTCGTGATTTTGGTCCATATACATTTAAAATGAGATTTATGCCCTTATAATTAACTGTTTCCTTTTTAATTAACTAGCTAAAACTAAATAAATAAATAACCAACCCTCCCTCTTCTTCCATTTTATCAAGAACAAGGAAGACATTCATCATAGCTCCACCCTCTGACGTAGCCCTTTGTCCGGAACAACTGTTGGCAATCACATGTCTCACTGGAAACCACCAACATCGCTATATGATATTTCACCCGCTTCTATCTCTCATAAGGTTTGCCCTACTACCTTTTCCATAGATTTCATCTAAGACAACCTCCATTCTCACTGGAAACAATCGATAGCTGCAAATCCTGTCAGAAACCACCACAAAAACCATCATACTGTATTCTCTTACATGTCATCTTCGTCTTTGAGATTTGGAAGCCATCGTCGATGGAGCTGGGGTTTGCAAACCATAAACCTCCTTACGACCATCATCGCCGCCTCCAAACATGACTTCCAGTCCACCATTGTCGAGTACTCATTTTGTCGAAGCTATAGGTTCCAATTTAGGGGAAATTGATCTACCCTTCATTACTGGTTGCTCTGTTATCTAATGGAGATGATGGTGAAGTGTGCAGATGGTGGATAGTCACGTTGGTGTTAGATCTCGACTGGTGAGATGGTGAAACAAGGTTGATGATAATGGTCTAATGGTGGGTTTTAGATTTAAGGTGATGTAGGGAAGACGATGACTCAATAAAGGAGTTGGGGTTAGATTCTTTTTATTTTTATTTTTAAATATGAAAAAAAATAAAAGGAAATTAAAAAAAAAAACTATTTTAGGGGCATATTTGTCCTTTGAAATTGGGTATGGATCAAATCCACACAAAAATAGTGTATCCGAAATTGGACCACCGATGCATCACCAAAAACTTTTTTGAACCAAACCATATAATTTTGACAACTATAGGGACCATTTTTGCAATTTTGTCCATATAAAACTTATGTATTCTTTCTTGGTAATACTGTACAAACTCTTTTATATTGAACTAGGCGAATATCCGCGTGTTACATGGAATAAAATTATATAGTTAACCTTTTAGTAATCATATGTCACTGAAAATATTTTTGTCATTTATATTAACTAAAAAATTATTATTATTACATTTAAACATTTAGTTAATGTAACATTATAATTAATTTGAAAAATAGATAATATAACACTTACTAAAATCGAATCATGTAATAGTATCTACTCACGCTTTACGTGTGTATAAAATTATTTATATTTTTTATCTCTTTTAATTAACTAATGTAATGATTTATTAACTTTAAAGAAAAATTGACACCATTTTGATTTCATCATAATGATTATTTAAATTATCAATCATTGTTTGTGTTGTAACATAATTTAATTTAGAAGTTTATGTTATTTTAACTATTATTATTATAAATTAATTTTAAAATAACTTAACTGAATTTCAGTTATTATAAAAAATAGTTTTTAGATCTTTTAGTTAATTTTACTTTTAAATTTATGTCCTTTTATGTTTATTGTATTTAATATTTTCCATTTAACTATTGTAAAAATTATATATTGAGTTTTTTTAATACTTTAGTTGATATTTTACATTATGTTTTAAATTTTACACTATATTTTTAAGTTTGTTTGATATATTAATTTAGGTTATGGATTTAATACTATATTGAAGTTATTGATAATTAAATGATAATATTTATAATTAATAACATATTTAAGTTAGAAAGTATATTACATGGAAATATGAAAAGTTAGGAGTTTCAAATTGATGTGGTGAAAGGAAAAATGTTTACTTTATAAGTATAGTATGATTCCATAATATATGTATCAATAGTTTATAACCTATGGAACCATGTTACAAAATTAATTAAATTTTTATAGTAAAAATTCAAAATTATTAATTAATTATTTTAAATAAGTTATTAATTAAGAGATTTTTTTAGTTACATAAAATTATAATCATTGATTTAAATAAATACGTGAAGTTATCACCTTATAATTTACATTAATTTTATTTTAATTTTTATTCTAATGTTAATTTAATTTAATATAATTAGAATGGAAAATTTGAAATTTAAAATTTAAAATGGAGAATCAGTTAGTTGATAAGTAGCATGTTTTTAATTAAAAGGCCTAATAGGATGATAATTATCAAAAAGGGAATAAATCTAGGGGTGTGAGTCAAGCTACTTGGGATCAAATCGTTAAAAGCTCGAATCGAGATCGAAGTAAACGAGTCCAAGCCGAGCCCAAGCCTAAATATGACGCTCGTTTATTAAACGAGCTTTAGCCAACCTTCAACCAGTGAGTTCACGAGCCTAAACGAACCTATAGTATTATTATTATTATTATTATTATTATTATTATTATTATTATTATTATTATAAAAAATATTTGAAGAATTAGGGACGTAGGGTATTACTGTATTAGTAAACGAGTTTTTTAACGAGCTTGAAGTGAACCTATGCTTATTTGGCTCATCATACAAACAAATGCCGATCTCAAGCCCGATCCGAGCCTATATAATTCTTTACGAGCTCAAGCCCTTCATAATTTAAACGAGCTCGAGCTGAACTTGACCAAGCTCGGGCTCGATTCTTTTACACCCCTAAATAAACCTATTCCTTTTATTAGAATATGGATTATATCTTACTCATATTTTAACAAGATACTCAAAATAGCAAACATACTTTCCAAACTCATTTTTTTAATCCAAATTCCAAATACATAATTACACTAACGAAACAAACCTTTCCTAGTAAAATCATCGAAAGAAACCTTTCCTAATTTAATGTAAGGAAACTTTCCAAAAACTTAATTTATGCAACTACAATAACCATATAGCAGATGAAATAATTAGGACCGATTGTTAAAACTTAAACGTGCATCACTTCACACAAACTTGTTTGAGAAAACACCAATGTCATTGATTTGTATGTTACACATAAGCTTGTTTCGTCACTACACAAAAATGACATTGGTATGTACGTTACACATAACCTTGTTCGATCAAAAAGATACCAATTAGACCATGCTCACCAAACAAAGAGCAATGTACAACCACCAAAACACCATTTACCTAAACAAGTCATTCCTTTCATTCCTACTTCAACAATTCACATATCATCTACCAAACCTAAACAGACTCCCAAATTCCATCAGCATAACTCGGTATCAAACTTAAGTGAAATCCCCATACTAAAAAGCTCCTGTGTCAATAACTTAGCACCATAAGGCACACTCACCTTAATCACATCTTCAACCGAGTCACATACCCGACAATATGGGCCCCGGATCTTGTGTCCACCTGCAACAGCCCTCTGAATCACACCCGCCATTCTTTTGCATTTTGTACAGACATGCATTTCAGAGCAGTCACTGAGTGTGAAAAGGCGCTCGTGTAAGTTAGCAGAGGCTCCATGGGCTATCAAGCAGTCCCTTTCCATTTCTCCAAATTTTATTCCACCAAACCGTTTCCTGTCAGCCACCGGTTGCCTCGTCAGCGGGTGCACCGGGCCCGTGTTTCTAAACTTCACTTTATCCTCCGACATGTGAACCAGCCTCTGGTAGAACGTGGGGCCCATGAACACCAGCGATTTTACCATTTCGCCCGTCCTCCCGTCATAAAGTCTCTCATTTCCCCATCGAGAAAATCCAGCCCTGTAATAAACAAGTAAATGAAAATACTTTGATATAATCATAAAGAAAAAGGAGTAGTTTAGTTTACCAATTAATTACCTGTGAAGCTGATCTGTTATGGCATGAATGGAGAGAGAAGAAAAAGGTGTAGCGTATCTCTGTGAACCTCCCAACGCGATACCTTTCCCCAAAGCAGATTCCAGCATCTGCCCTGGAGTCTGTCTGGATGGGAATGCATGTGGATTGATCACAATATCTGGAACTATTCCTTGTACGCTGAAAGGAAAGTTTTCCTGAGACTCCAAATACCCTAAAACCCCCTTCTGCCCATGCATACTCGAGAACTTGTCACCAAGGCATGGGGCCCGCACTTGTCTCAAAGAAACCACTGCAAAATTCTTCCCTTCATCATTAGCAGACAACACAACCTTCTGAACCATTCCTCTTTCGGTATGTTTCAATTTCACACTATGATCAGTCCCTGCTTCTGTAAATTTCCCAATCACAATATCACCACTCTGTAAATTTGCACCGATAAAAGGAAAGCCATCCTCATCCAAACTATCCACCCTTCCGATCTTACTTTGAATCTTCCCAAAATTCACAGCCTCATCTGACTTAACCTTCTTCTTTGAAACTTCAGTGTTATCAACCTCAGCTTTATAGCTTCTAATATGCTCTGACCGAAACATCCCCCGGTCAAGCGAGCTCCTGTTCATCACCAACGAGTCCTCTTGATTATACCCGAGGTGGACATTGACCGCTACAATAGCACACTGCCCGTTGAAAAACTCGGGTCTAGCAATCATACCCTTTCGGGTTTGACCAGATTGTTGACCTTGACCTTGACCTTTTTCAAGGCAATCAGAAAGAATGGTTTTGAAAAGAGGTCTTTGAGGGTAGAAGAGTTGGTGTGAAAGAGTGTCGACTCTGATGTCTGGATTTGTTGATGAGTATCCAACAGCTTGCTGACTGTGTTTTTGGGATTGGAATAGGACTCTTTTTGCGTGATCATGGTTTGCAAAAGGAATGATGCCACAGCTTAGGCTCATCATGAATGACATGTCGAGTTCACAATGTGTGTATTTTTCAGGGTCGTGTTCTTCATTTTTGAGGAAGAGGTATTGGATGTCCCATGCTGTGCAGCAATCTTCTTCCTCTTCGGGTCCGATTAGTTCGACAACTCCGTTGTCTAAAAGATCTTGAAATGAGTACTTTCCACCTTTTAGGAGTTTGATTTTGTGCAAGATTTGAACGACTATAAGGGGACGTAAAATGCGTCCAGCGTCACAAAATATGCGCACTTCTTTGTGCTTTGTATCTCTTTTTATTTCGACCTAAATGAAACGATTCAAAAGATTTTAAAAAGTTGAAAAAAAAACTTGCCTATATTGAAGTATTCAAATATAAATGTCAAAAAAATATAAGGGTTCATTTATTACATGAGATTGGATACAAACTTTTTAAGACTACTTTTGAGAAGAGCATTCAAGTTTTTTGCACAGGCAAGAAATCCAAAGTTCATGACGTGTTAGCATCAATCTCAATCTCGGTTGATATATGTCAAATATAGCACAACCAATTTAGTCATTTCAATATAGTCGTTACAACATGTTTTGCCATGTCATACCATTACTGTTATTGGATGATGTCATTACAATATGTTATCATGTTATTACTTATTATAACACAATTTATCATTCATCTCCAATGGTCAATCTATGCCATGATTCAAAATTATTGTCATTATCATCTTTCCACTAACATTGACCTCTATTTAATGGTTAACCTCTTCCAATATTTTTTTTTCTATATAAATTTAATCAATGTATCCCCTTCCATGTAAAATGTCCTATAAAATCCCCTTCATTTATATAGTTATTTATTAAACACGCATCATATTTAAATACAAAATATGTCACAACAGCATGCAATAGTATAAATAAAACTATGTCAAGTACTTATTTGATATACAAAACATATGAAAAAACTATTTTGTTATAGTCATAAAAATATTTAAAAGAAAACATTAAAAGGATACTATAATCATCGTAAAATTTATATTTCAAAAATGAAATATCATTTGAATATTTAACCAAACTAATTAATTAGTAAGGAAGTAACAAAAATTTAAGACTAAAATATAATTAAGGGGATAAATAAAATATGATAAAATAAGTAGGGTTTAAGCATACAAAACCTATAAGTATATATTGAAAGTTATCTTGTCCAATGGAGTGCTAATAAGTAGTAATTAGCTATTAAAAAAAAAAACTCCGATAAGAGATACTAACATATTCTTTCTTGATAATAAAAAAATGTTATGCATAAAAAATGGGCCTATGATACTGACCTGATGAGGTACTTCCTTCTTACGACGTTTACGCCTAAACTCAGCCACAAAAGAAGCAGAATTTTCGCAAAATCTAACCCAATCTCCATCAACAAAAACTTTATCCATTCCAGATAACGAAGTTGAGCTATCATCCACTAACTTCTCCATTCCACATGCCATCATTAAATCAGTAATCTTTTCCCTAACAGTTGTCGACACAAGAGCAGTACCCGCCAAATTTTTTATCAACCCACAATTTTCCCCATCAGGGGTTGAAAGATAACAAATCTTTCCCCAATGAGAAGGGTGTCTACATCAATCAAACAAAAGATTATCACTCAATCAATCAATAACTATGAAAGAAAAAGTATTATAATTTATAATTACTTACAGGTATCTCGCATCTCCAGCTTTCACAGCATACAAAACCTGCTGACATGTCCTTCTCATATCCGAAATCATTTGCAAAGGATTTGCTCTTCTAAGCGTAGCAACAACTCCAAAAGTTCTTTCATGTTTTTATACGGGTGGGACCAAGAACCCGATGAAAAAGCCCGCATAAGCCCATTTGTAATAATTGAAGCATCCAAATAATGTTCAATAGCATGTAAATGTCGATTAGGATATAAATCCCTTTGCATGTATTTCACCAATCGCTTTTCTGCATGTTTAAGATGAATTCTTAACTCTCTTTCAAGTAACTCGCTTGCAAGTTCCAATCTTTTGTTCCTAAAATCATCTTTGTTATCAGCTTTTCTTTTACCAGAATACCCCTCTAACAAACACTTCACCATGTATCCAAGGTATCGAGCTTTTTGTTTGAACCCAATGATATTAGGAAACAAGTACTTCTCAAAGCACTCTTTAACAGACTCTTTAGGTGGAAATTTGCTCTTTTCAAAAAGGTTTTCAATATAATTTAATGAGTTATGTCCTTTACGAAATTCATCACACTTCTGATCAGCTTCATGAATGGATGCCATTAGAATATTGACGATTCTGCCATCATTAATGTCGGCATCAATCAAGTTAACCACTTCTTTATCTGAAGATACCCCAAGGGCAAAAAAGAGAATCCATATTGGCATATCTTTTAAACTCAAGATATAAACATTTATCCCTTGTGCTCCTCCTTTGGTATCTTCATATTCATTAGTATCCGCCAGTTTCACATAAACCCTTTTCCTCTTGTGGGGTGAGCGATACATCACACACCAATTTGGAAAACTTGCCAACCAGATTCTGTTTAATCCAATTTGTTCTTGTGCAATAAAGGTCTACAATAACACATTGTATTTGTATTTGTATCATACAAAAAGACATTAGTTAAAGGGATTATATATAAACTTTTAATACAATGCATAAACTAAGTACCTATTAAAATTAAGTGCAAAGTACATAAATGCACGTGTAGTTTATGGATTGTCAAAACTCATATTCGTATAAAAGTAAATAATGCCCTCCTCGAGCTAACAAAATTAAGTCATTAATTTATTGTGTTCAAAACACAACAAAAAGCACTATTTATAATGTGGGATTTTGTGATAACTAATGGTACCCATAAATATATCTCTTCTCGTGAATTACTATAATATATGCAAGATATGCACCTTTAAGACAGCTATTAATTCAATTAGTAACAAAGTGAATGATTTTGCAGATTATTAACCAAACACAAGATAGAGTCAATAACAACTCATTAATCCATCATGTGTCAATAGAAATGAACTAGGAGAAAGTATATATATATATATATATATATATATATATATATATATATATATATATATATATATATATATGTCACCTTCTCAGCTCCCTTGATTATGAAATAGCCTCCTTGGTCATAATCACAGTCATCTTTCTCAACTCCACTCATCCAACACGTATCAGAATTGATCATCACCGGAATCCTCCCAATATACACTTCACGCTCCTCGGTTTCAAGTATCTTCTTGTCTACATACGCCTCCTTACCGGTTTTGAACTTGTCACTTCTTACAAGCTCTTGGGTATACACCTAAAAATGTGATAAGTGTACAATAATTAACCAAATATTCACACATCAAATCCACAAGGACAAGCATATATAACGAATCAGATAATTAATCACGCATAACTAGCTAGGTAGGAAGAAGCCGAACACTCAAAAGCTAGTGTGGTGTGGTGTCACGTTAGGTATCATATTTATTACATCTAACGTGAGCTGAACTTGCATTCTGGATGAGTATGTCATATTCTAAAGACGAGCATGTTTCGGTAAGTACACGACGGATTCATCACTGTAAGCGTAACTATAGTAACCAAATATCTTGGTGTATATAGTTTTTAGGATTTTTGACAGGCTTGCAAATCAAGCTTTTATGTCCTGTAATTAAGGGTGTATTTTTGCCTTTTTTTGTGTGTTTTTCCTTTTTTACCTTTGTAGAACTTCTGTATATAAAGTGGTCTGTATAATCCAAAGGAGACACAGTTGGGGTTTTCTTCACTTTGCCTTTCATCTCTTTCACATGCATTCATGTTCCTTTTCTTTCATTCTGTATAAAGTCTTTCATGGTATCAGAGCTTTATCATGGAATCTGAATCAACCATGACTAACGATTCTGGTTCATCACCAATGAATAATTCTCATTCTCTTCCTGTTTTCTACAACCCTAATGCCATCATGGCTCACACCCATCTAACCAAAGAAAACTATGTAAACTGGAGTACCCTCTTCAAAACCCTTCTACGAGCCCACAAACTATTGTTTGTTATCAACACAAACCCGCCCCCCAAAACCCTAGCTGATGGCAAAGAAAACCCAGATCATGACACATGGAAGAATGCAACAGACCTTATCTGCTGCTGGATAAAAGGCACTGTTACCCCTGCTATTCAACCATACCTGAACTCCTGTGACAGTGCTCCTACAACGTGGAATGTTCTGGCTAAGAGGTTTGGCTCCACATCGGCCATCCAAATTGAAAACCTACAAGACCGCCTTCATAACCTCAAGAAACCAACAGACCTTTCTGTTTCTGACTATCTTCTTCAAGCCAAAACTATATCTGATTCCCTTATTGCTACAGGAAAACCTCTTGAAGACTACGAACTTATTCAACGAATTCTTGGTGGTCTTGGTGCTGAGTTCAAAGAATTTCTCACCTCCACTTCTTCATCACAAGTTCGGCAGTCACTCAATCTCGATGACCTGACAGAGTTGCTTCTTAAGGAAGAAATGCTACAGAAAAAATTTGCAATCCCAATTGAACAGGCCACAACCTTAACTGCAACTAAAATCTCTTCTTGTCAACCTCAATCATCATCATCATCTCGACCCAATAACAACGGGAATGGAAGTCGAGGGAGTCGTGGTCGTGGTAAATCTAATTTTGGTAGAGTCGGAAATCAGGGGAGAGGTAATTGGGGCGGTCAACAGTGGAACAACAGTTACAGTCAAAATAGTCGAAATAATAGAGGTGGACGTGGTGGTCGTCGCACAAGAGGTTCGTTTAGAGGAGGAAATCCTCATGGCAGGGGAATTCTAGCAACTCCTTTTAACCTTGGTCACTTTCCTGATCAAAATGCTCCATGCCAATTGTGTTATCAGTATGGACATGATGCTAGAGTTTGTGCACAACGTAACAATGCTGCATACTTCTCACAATCTGAACCATATGTTTTAGACTCGGGTGCTATGAACCACATGACACCAGATCCCTCCAACTTCTCTGAGTATTCACCATTTACAGGTAAAAATTCAGTGACTTTTGGTAATGGTACAAGCTTGCCTATCTCTTACATTGGTAAATCTTCTTTTCTTCATGAAAATCGGTATTTTAAGATGAACAATGTTTTGTTTATTCCTAAGTTGCACAAACCTCTGTTATCCATTCGTCAATTCTCTAAGGATAATAATTGTTTTTTTGAACTTGACTGGTGTGGTTTTCGTGTTAAGGACATTCGGACGCGGCAGATCCTTCTTTCTGGTCATAGCTCTGGAGGTCTTTATCAGCTATCATTCAATCCAAATACTTCTCATAGTCCAGTTGCCCTCTTAGGCGAACGGTCAACTCCCAACACTTGGCATGATCGCTTAGGACATCCTTCTTTTAATGTCTTTAAAGTTCTTTGCAGCAAGTTTAAATTACCAATAAATGGCAAACTTTCAGAAACACATAGTTGTCATGTATGCCCTATGGGAAAATCTTCTAAATTAGCATTTGTTCCTAGGAATTTTAATGCTCTTCATCCTCTTGACATGCTTCATCTTGATGTTTGGGGTCCTACCCCGGTTCAGTCTATGAATGGTCATCGTTTTTATCTATCTATAATTGATGATTTCTCTCGTTATGTGTGGCTTTTTCCATTATTTCACAAATCTGATGTTGCTAATGTTTTTGCCATTTTCAAAACTCAAATTGAAAATCAATTATCTCGAAAAATATGTGCGGTTCATTCTGTTAAGACTGTACAAACTGATGGTGGTGGTGAGTTCACTAGTCGTCAGTTTAAAGCTTTTCTTTCTAAATGGGGAATTAAACATCAACTCACTTGTCCCTACACACCTCAGCAAAACGGTGTTGTAGAGCGAAAACACAGACACATAGTTCAAATGGGTTTGTGTCTTATGACAAAATCAAACACTCCATTTAAGTTTTGGCTTGAAGCATTTAACACTACTGTCTATCTCATCAACAGATTGCCCATGCGCCAACTTAATTATCTTTCTCCTTACCAAAAGCTCCTCTTACGTGATCCTGATTATCGTTTTCTTAAAGTTTTTGGGTGTTCTTGTTTCCCTTATATTCAACCGTATAACTCCCACAAGCTTATGCCAAAATCAACTCACTGTATTTTTCTTGGATATGATAATACTCGCAAAGGTTATAGATGTTTGGATTTAAAGAATGGTCGAGTTTATATCTCTAGACATGTTGTATTTGATGAATTGGATTTTCCCTTGAAAAATAAAAGTGCAGGTTCTTCACTCGGGCAAACACCACCACCGCAGACCAACCATTTTGTTGAAAACATTCATCACCATGTCTCAAACTCGCAAGCAAAATCACAGCCCGGAATTGCAATAACTCAACCTACTGGGCAGCCACCTCACACGCCAAGCCCAATATCAGTCTCAAATCCTGTAACGCCTAGTGGGCCCAGCAAAGCGCGAGTTAATAATCAACATACATTTGTTGAACCGACAACTCAATTAAACTTCACCCCAGACAAGTCTTCTTCACCACCAATTACAGAATTCACTCTTGTGGTTTCTTCTTCACCACCCGCCACCCCTCCTTGTTCAGGTCCTACAAATCTAGCCCCTGAAAGTCCAGATATTTTAAATCCAGTCCTCAAGGTCAGATCTGTTGCTGAGATTTACCAACAAACTTCACCACACTCCTTGCCTCATGGTCTGATAGCCACTCAATCAGATGACATGTTTTATGAACCACAGACGTTTAAACAAGCATCCAAATTTCATCACTGGCAACAGGCAATGCAGGAAGAAATTACTGCTCTACACAAAAACAAGACTTGGCGCCTCGTTCCATCTCAGCAAGGTATGAATGTTGTGGGATGTAGATGGATTTTTAAGGTCAAACGCAAAGCTGATGGGTCCTTAGAGCGCCACAAGGCTAGATTAGTGGCACAAGGGTTCACCCAACAGGAGGGACTTGATTATGCCGAAACATTCAGCCCGGTGGTTAAACCATCAACGATCCGTACTGTTCTTTCTTTAGCTCACGCTCAGCATTAGGATATCAAAAAAACTGGATGTTAGAAATGCATTTCTCAATGGCATTCTACATGAAGATGTGTATATGAAGCAACCCCCAGGTTTCATCTCTAAATCCTTTCCAGATCATGTGTGCAAATTGGATCGTGCACTTTATGGTCTCAAACAAAATCCAAGGGCATGGTTTCAACGGCTTCACGATTTTCTCTTACTCCAAGGTTTTTTTAACAGACAATCTGACTCATCTCTTTTCATCAGACACACTACAGAGTCTACTACAGTTATTCTAATTTATGTCGATGACATAATTATCACAGGATCCTCTCCCTCTGTTGTTTCATCAGTTATTGATGTGATATGTGACACATTTGATAGCCGACGCCTTGGTGATTTGTATTACTTCTTAGGCATTGAGGCAACTTGTAGTTCTCATACTTTGCAGCTAAAACAGACTAGATACGCTCTAGATCTTTTGGAGAGGTTTAACATGACTAGCTGCAAGCCAGCAACTACCCCTACTGCTCTTAATTCCCGGTTGTCATTATATGAGGGTGATCTTCTTTCTGATGCTACAGAGTATCGTAGTATGGTTGGTGGCCTACAATACCTTACACTTACTAGGCCAGACATTACTTTTTCAGTTAATCAAGTATGTCAATTCATGCACCAACCTCGCACCTCTCATCTTGAGGCTGCTAAACGCATCCTAAGGTTCATTAAAGGCACACTACAAGAGGGTTTGACCTTTTACCTGTCATCTACATTCCACATTCGAGCTTACTCTGATTCTGATTGGGTAGGAGACCCGAATGATCGTCGGTCTACCACAGGTACTTGTATCTATATTGGTCCAAATCTTGTATCTTGGACTGCAAAGAAACAATCTACAGTTTCAAGATCAAGCAGCGAAGCTGAATACCGTGCTCTTGCAATTACTACAGCAGAGCTTAGATGGTTTTCATACCTCTTTCGTGAACTAAATATTTTTCTTCATCCTCCCTCTCTATTTTGTGATAATTTATCGGCCTTACATATGGCACGAAATCCTGTTTTTCATGCCCGTACCCGTCACATTGAGATCGACTACCATTTCATAAGAGAGCTGGTCACTCGTGGATTTTTAAAGTTACATTATATTTCAACAGAGGACCAGTTAGCCGACCTGTTCACAAAAGGACTCTCTAAAGTCAGGTTTAATGCCTTATCTGTCAAGTTACGCCTTCCTTACGGACGTCTTACTTGAGGGGGGGGGGGTGTAAGCGTAACTATAGTAACCAAATATCTTGGTGTATATAGTTTTTAGGATTTTTGACAGGCTTGCAAATCAAGCTTTTATGTCCTGTAATTAAGGGTGTATTTTTGCCTTTTTTTTTGTGTGTTTTTCCTTTTTTACCTTTGTAGAACTTCTGTATATAAAGTGGTCTGTATAATCCAAAGGAGACACAGTTGGGGTTTTCTTCACTTTGCCTTTCATCTCTTTCACACGCATTCATGTTCCTTTTCTTTCATTCTGTATAAAGTCTTTCAATCACCACCCTCGGCAGCAATATACCGTGGTCGCTCAAGAGTCACCTTCCCGAACTTTATTGAAGCATATCTCCATTCATTGTCACGCTTTTTTGAGGGATCAAAACCAGGCTCAACTATGATCTCACCGATGGAATCAAAAACATTTTGAATCCCAACGTTGGTGAAATCATTGTATGAGTTGATCTGGTGACTTATAAGACCATAATGTTTGAAAAAGAGGTCGATGCCCTTCTACAGAAGTTCTTTAAGAATGACTCATCAAAATCTTTAACTGATGATGCATCATCCATCATATCATCATCGTCGTCGTCGTCTATGTCGACATGCACTGGCTTCTCTTTGAAGCTAGGTCCTCCCTCTTCCATGTTATCTGAAACTCTCGAATATAGTACTAGATCTGATTAATAAATAATCAAATACCCACAAACATGCAAATAGCTAAAATCCCATGTTTATCAAACCCAATCTCAAGCAAAACGATCGAGTATATGATAAAATGCAACTAGGGAGGGCAAAGAAAATAAAGTGGATCGAACACAAGTAACGTTTTAAACCCCTTGACGATTATTAAGCTTCATTTTTTTTTACCAAACCAAACAATCAATTGGCATCTTGCCGATTAAACTCTCTTTCATGGCATTTCAAAAGTTCAGTAAATTGTTCTATCATCCGATCCGACTAAACGTAACAAATATTGAAAAAGAACACGCAGCTGTACATGAAATTTTCAGAGAGATACATACAAATAACTGAATATGAGTTGGAGCTTGATGGTTTTTACGCCTTCCGTCAAATTCGAAGGTTTTTAGAAGGCCCGAAAATCAAAACGCAGTACCACTGTTAGAATTATGAGTGTTTAAGATAAGATTTTAGAGGGATTTCTTCTGCAGTTAGTCTATCAAGGGTGAGGCAGTAGCTGAAAAGCTAGAACTACTAGAACAATCAATGATTCGGTGCAAAATATCTTATAGATTTACCAAAATGTCCCTAATGTATTCCATGCATCTTTGTCGCTCTACCTTTTACTATTTTTGAACATCAAGTTTTCTCTTTTTTTAGTAAACATCGATCAAAACTAATAAATAAAATCAAATATTTTTTATTTTTTTTCTTTTATTTATTAGATTAATACAAATGTTAAAATTAAGAGTCAAGATTAATGAGCGGAAGCCCCGCACTATTGATGCGGGTTTAAATGGGTTTCAACCAAATATTTATGGAATGATAACAATGAACACTTAGATTTTAGATTTTCATAACATCGATGCACATATTAGATTTGATACAAAATAAAACTTTAAACATTTTTGAAATCTAGAGGAAACCTAAATGATTCTTACGTTATGTTGGTGATTTTGTATCATCAATGTGTATTTAAGTATAATGGATTGACTTGTTGACCCAAAATCATTTTTGATGAATATTAAGTAAGTAAGGAAAGTGCGAAGTGCACAATTGTTTAAGTTCATTCAATATTTAAAGTAGAATGTTATTTAGAGGGGTCCAAGGGGCGGCAACCCCTGGCGGGGTCCAAGGGATAGGGCCCCGGCTGGGTTATATTGGTATATTAAAAATGCATCAGAAATCTGAATTTTTTGAAATAAACTCGGTTTTTTACTTTGTTTTGACCTTATATAAATAACCCGAATTAGTGATAGGTTTCAGACATTAAACTGTTTTTTGTGACAGTTTTCAGACATACAACTGTTTGGTGATAGTTTTCTGATCGAAATGTTACTTAACTAATTTTTGGTCTTCATTTGATGGTACACACGAAATTCATAACAACCAGGTTATCTGTTCTTACTCTCATTTATGAGTCTTATCCGATTAAAGGTTAGAAGTATCACCAAAATACTTTAATCATAAAGTGTATACACAATTCTCAGAATTTCTAAGCCTATTATTATCCCAAATTCTAACACATTATGAAAAAGATGCATGGAAAGCAATATAACTCCAATTGTACCATAAATATGTCGAAAATGCCCCTTTCATTCCTATAACATGAATATCATGATTCCACCATGTTGATTAGAAATATGCATATCACGATATAGCCATTGAAAAGCATGAATACATTATTATTATAAACAAAAGGGAGGTGCAAAAACATAACTTTGCAAGTTGTTCAGCTATATGATGGTTCACTTCCACACAACTATAATTTCTACTTTTATATTCCTCTAAGAAAAAAATAGTTTTTAAATTTCAAACATTTAAAGAGATACCCAATAAAAATAAGATTCTTAAACATGTATGCACCTATTAGATTAATAACAACATTTGCCTTGGCCTTGACCGGCTTAATAAATTCTTCACCTCTTGGGTTATATTTCATGGGAACAATCGGTGTGAGTTAAAAAGAGTAAGCAATGACAGTTTCCTTGTATTGATAATTATGGGTATGTGGCAAATGTGTAAAAGAAAGAACCTTTAGACGAAAAGTGCAACATTACAAACTATAATTTGGTGCATTTCGGTTAGTTACCTTCAATGTTGCAATCAAGAGCAACACAACAAAGCTTCTTCAGGCCATTAAATATTTAATACATTATTATGGATTATGGAATCAACCATTCCATTCCATTCCAATTTCTATCAGATTATGGAATGAACCACTCAATTCCATTTGAAAGCAATATCTATCAGCAACACTATATAAATCACACTTCTTTTAGATTCAATCCTATATTTTTAAGTTAAACACCAAAATATCCTCATAATATGTTTACTAAAGTATACACAAACTATTAAAAAAGTATTATAAGCAGAAATTTAAAGTTTCTTAATTTTTATTATGGGATTTCATCGCATTTCTAGCCAACTAAAAGCACAACAAATTCCCTTCCTCACAAGAAATTTCTGCAAACCAAATAAAGATGGAATACATTTGAAATTTCAAATTTGTATTATTTACTTTTAGGAGAGAGAGAGAGAGAGAGAGAGAGTCTATCTTTAAGAAACCAAGCATAATAAAAGACCTTGTTGCATACGAAGCAGGAGGGGTATTTTTGTCTAGTATATATAATCAGTTTTGAATACTGTTTGCATAAAGTACGAAGGGGAACCTAGTTATATAATGTGAAAATGTCATTAAACAAATCACCAAAAGATCACTTACCATGTCCAGAGTATTTCTTTAACAGATCTTTATATACAGAGCAAAAAAGTCCATTAAGGGGAGACATTAATTTTTTTTTATAAAATTTTGTTTATTTTGTTTCATTAGGATAGAACTGTAAGAATGTTATGATGGAATTTATAGGTTACAAAATGTAACATCCATAAAAATCATGTCAAATTTAAACTTCTTAAATAATTTCAAAACCAATAATTATTACAAAACTTGTTTTCAAAATAGTATAGTGTCAGAGTATCCTATAATCAAATCATAAAACATAAGGAGGTGTACGATCACGCATTCGCCTTCTCGAGATCATCAGAGGTACCTTAAATAAAATCAACAACTGTAAGCCTAAAGCTTAGTGAGTTCCCCCAATATACCAACGACATACAAACATATCAATAACATATACGCAAACAACATGCATAATGAGCCTTCAGCCTGACTGGACCGCCTCACAGCGCCTCACAACGCCTTCAGCCTATCTGGACCGCTCCCGAGCCTTCGGCATGTCTGGACCGCCTCACCGGGGTAACAGCCTATCCGGATTGCTCGTCAGGACTTCGACCTGACTGGACCTCCTCGCAGGGCCTTCAGTCTATCCAAACCGCCCTGGGTATGTTGGCTTTCAGCACAAAGTAGGACTGTCTCAATCCAACCCCCAATCAAATAATCATGTGCACATAAATGTCATATGCTAGCATATATAACAGTCAAAATGATCTAACATATCACTAATCATAGCAATATCGTATAACCAAGATACATACCTAACCGGTCACTAACATATCATCATCCTATATACCATGATACCGACCTAACCAATCACTAACCATACCACCATCCTAACTACCAGGATCTAAATCAATAAACATATCATGCAAATAATCCGGATACAAATTCATAAAGGGCTAGCATTGGTGCCTTCGATCCTGTTATTATAGTGAGGAAATCTCACCTCACAAATATCGAATTGTAGTGCTAAGATGAAACTCTTGAATCACAGCCATGAACTCTACCATCTATATTCATCGTATAACCACTTCCATAAATCCCCAATTTACTAAAATACCCTTAGAAGTCAAATTGGTCAACCATTGGTCAAAGTCAAAGTAAATGGTCAAGGTTAACAGTCCATGTTGACCCAATTCGTCGAGTGTAGTTCACTGACTCGTCGAGTCCTTCCATAACTCGAGAAACCGTGAAAACCCTAGTTGACTCACTGAGTTTCCAGACAACTCATCGAGTCCATGCATGTCCAAAAGTCAGGAAAACCCTATATGACTTGTCGAGTCCTCTCACTGACTCGCCGAGTTCATGCAGAAACCAACAACGGCCAATTTTCACAAGACTCGTCGAGCTGACTATGCAACTCGTTGAGTATGTTCAGTCCATTTCCCATTTAGATGTTTTAAGCTACCCAAAGTTCCAAATTTTAGATCTAGCTTCCTGAGGAACAAAGTCCACGCAAAGTTGTAAACTTTACATACATGCAAGGTTTTAAAGGTTTAAAACACCAAAAACAAGTTTAGAATGAGGTTTAGGGCATGGTGAGAGGTCAATATAAGGTAAAGCTGATAACTTTATGAATTTGGGACCTAGAGGAGTCCAGATCTGAAGTTACAACTTCAGATCATGGCCAATACCCGAAATGGTTCACATATATACTAAAAATGGCCCTAAACTTAAGCATGGAGAGATCTAGCTAGAGAGAAGTCAAGGTAACGAATTGTTACCTTCTAGATTATGCCAAGATGAAGTAGATGTTAGATCTAAAAGCTTGTCCTTGTTCCAATCTCCTTAAACTTAAATTCCTCCCCATAAATTCACCTTCCAAGGTTCTTAACAAACAAAATGGAGTAAGATTGTGATTAGGGTTTTCTGAGCTCAAGGGGAAGGATAAGGGAGGTTGGTGGAGGCTAATGACCCTTTAAATAGGGTACAAAAGTCTGGAAATTAGTGTTTCATTTTCCAGCTCTGACTCATCGAGTCAGGGTCCTCTAACTCGTCGAGTACATCCAATAATCCACGAGGGCTAACCCGCCTCTACACGATGAGTTAGGGCAACTAACTCATCGAGTAAGTCCATAAACATGTATGTAAGGCCATAAAACTTATACCTAGGAGTCGAGCTGTTACACAAAAATCATATTTTGGTGAACAAAACCGAAACACTAAGTTTGCATGAAACCTCAAAGATCTATGTTTTCACTATTGA